AAAACTCAGAATGGGATGCTCAGAGCCCAACTCAAAAAAGCGTTTTCTCGTGGGAGACAGCTTGGTACGTGGACTGGCCGACCGTGAGAGGCAAGGTGGTCCAGGGCATCTACAGTCCCTTCGGAAACTGGAGAGATAAAAGGTGGCTCTGCATTTCTGAATGCTCTTTCCCTGAAGACTGGAGGTTTTTTAAGTTGGTGGAGATTTAAGGGCAGACTGATTTGCCTCAGAGTGAGCCCCAGCCAGGGCTGGAGTTCCCGGAACCCCTTGCAGAGATGGGGAAGGGGCGATGCTCCTTCCAGGTGTCTCAGTCGATGTCAGAGCCCAGAGCAGCTCGACTGGCATCTCCTCCACTCTGGGCTGTGTTCTTAGTCTTTGGACCAACCTGCTGCTGAGATCTCTGAAGTCAGTTTCATTCTTCGTTATTCCCTTTTCTTAATTATTTCTCACCTGAAACTCTCTTAATCTTTTGCTTTCACCACATTTCAAAGAGAGGTGGTTCATGTGGTTTTTTTTGTTTGTATTTTTTTTGTGTTGTTTTGTTTTGCCTTGCTCTTGAAATGACTGCTTTTATTTTTCTTTAGTGTGTGAATGGAATACATACAGGAGAAAGCATCCTTTGATGGCAGTAATCGCAAGGAAGAGAACACCAAAAAGCAAGGAAAACTAAGATGCAAGTGAAGATAAACACTTTGCAGATAATCAGTCTAATATTTATTATTGTCTGAAGAGGATAGATCTCCATGTGAAAGCACAGGGCTGTGACTCAAGGTGGTTTGGGTTCAGTTCTGACATTTGCTACACAAGCCTGTGCGACCTTCCTGAAACTGTGTCATTGCTCCAGCCCCGTTTCCCATCTCTAAAATTGCAAGGCACCGCACCTTGTCTTTTGAATCCTATTTAAATGCTCTGGTCTTCCAGGATGGTCTCTGTGTGTGCGGCACCCAAGAAGGTATGTAATACTCTCTTTTGGAAGCATTAGAGACTAACTACGTATATATAGGTATATATTTATGAGATTAAATGGTAGTTAAAGGAGTGTATTGCTTTCAAAATTGGGAATAAGTAGAAGTGCAAGGATGGAGGCTGTTAATAGGTAAGATATGGCTTAGAAAAGCCCTGAGACTGAGTGCCCAGCTATTGGTTGGAGCCTAACAGTGCTGGCCAGGAATTTCAGTGAACGGGGGGCACATCGCTGTGTTTCAACCAGAAGTGATGACTGTGGTTGTGGCAGTAGCCATATGAAGGTTAGCAATGCCAGTGTGGTAGCAGGGCTCCCACATCCCCGGGGAGCAGGCCTGTAAGGCAAGTCATCTCCCAGCCGGAGTGCCTGGGAAATCCGCGTTCCCCCTGCGGAACAATAAACCAACGAAATGCCGGTGGTGGCCTCCACGCTTATTTTATATAGCCTGGAACCCGCAACTGCGTACACACCTGCTGCATTTCAGTGCTGTGAGGGATCTGGCAGGGGCACGGCCTCACCCGGAGAAACGCTTTGGACCTTCCGGTGCCTCGGGGGCGGCAGGAGTTATACAACAGAGGGTGTGGAGCAGCCTCCTCAGATGGGATTACTAGTTATCCCCCCAAATTTTGCATCAGGATCGCAGATGCCATTTCTGACTTTAGCTCTTTTAAATTCACACACATTTTCTTTTGCATAAAAAAGAAAGCAAACAAACTGTTCCACAAAATGTTCCTTATTTATCTAACTCATCCTACTAACTTCTTTGAGCCATCTAAATATATATATAATTAGATGGGCTTTTTTATGTAACTACCACAAGATACTTACTCTGCTAACCGGTTCCCTAAAAGCTGTTCTTATCTATAAAATTATCTAATTTGGACACGTTCTATTACCAATAGAAAGTTGTTATGAACCTTGAAAAAAAAATCTGGCACATATATAGTAGATTTATTTTTTATATTTCAGTCAAATGAGAAATCTTGCCTTTTGTCAATGTCTTTTATCGCCAGAAATCTCTCAGTACTTCATGCATCTGACTGACTCTTTTACAGTGGTACTGTTATTTACTCTTCTGCTGAAATATGGCCACCTATGAAGATAAATGTAGCAGTTGTTTAAATGATTCACGACTCCACTTTACGTCAATTTGAGATCAGAGCCCCTCTTAGTGCAACTGAGAGGGAAAAGATAATTTAATTGCTTAGATATATAATTTACCATGAGGTAAGCAGTGTGATTACTGATGATGGCTATTTCCCCCAGATGTTTGGATCTGTAGACATTAGATTATTCCATGGAACAAACAGCCTGTTGTTTGGGAAAATAGGGGCTGACTGATCCATATGCATCACTGCAGTCTTTCTTACACCCTGCATTGGCACAGCTAATAAAGCTACTGCTGGGGAAAGCGTGTTTTGGCCTGGATTGAGGTAGACCTGCAATAGTACAAGTACTGTTCTGAGCTCCTCTTTTGAATGATTAACTCATTTCCTAAGACCATCTGATTTTCCCCCTGTGCCTTGTTGACCTTAGGGATCATCTTAGCAGTGACTCCCCAAGAAGGAGCTTTCAGGGCTGCCCGGTGCAGCGGGGACCAGTGCTCTGCCCTGAACACCCCGGAGGGTCCTTTATCTCTGAGCCCCTGGGACAGATGCTGACTCTCTGGCTTTCTGAAGGATCAGTGTCTCTCCCATGCCTTTCTGTGACCCTGAGTGTAAGTGGGATCCCAAACCCTCTGTAATCTTTGGATTTATAGGCTTACAACAACAATAGTTCCTTCCACAAACAGGATTTTCTAGGTCGTCAAACTCCCTTGCTTTTGCAGGCAACTGTGTCAGATAACCTCATTCATAAAATGACCGAACTCTATTTTAAAAGTAGTTGGATGGCTTCCCTCCCCCTCCTCTCCCCACATAACACTGTGTCAGAAGGCAGTTTTGAAGCCTCTCTCTTACGGTTAGAATCTTTTTAATTTTATTTTTATTTATACCCGATTTGTTCCCTTGCTGAATTATCTTAAGCAGAAAGATCCCAAAAGGTTTTAAATAAAACACAACTGTCTCAGAAACTGGAGAGAGCAAATGAAATTGGACATAATTGGAATCCAGCTATCTTTGCTCAGACTTAGTGGTGAGACTTGCCGCAGGAAAGCCTGAGCTTTTCAAGAGCGGGGAAAGGGAGCAGGCCTGAGCTCAGCCGTGCTGTCCTTCACTCTCTCGCAAGACTCACGGCACAGGACCGGTGCTGATGATGTGGTGAGGGAGGGTGGGCAGCCACGCTGTGCTGCTCCCCTGCCTAACGTCGGGCCGGAGGTTTGCCCATCGCAGGCGAGGTGGAAGGAAGGCTGCTGCCTGGGCAGCAGGGCCAGGCACCACGTCTGCTTTCCAGGTCCCTGGTGACCACAGACAACTGTCTGGATAGCTGTCTCCTCCACATCGCTTTCTCTGAGTTAGGTCTCACCTGCTGTCGGCTGACAAGGGTCCCCTAACTGTTGTGATCCTGCACTGATTTATACTGTGCCAGAAGATGGCTCATGGAGCTTTTGAGGTGAAGGCCTGTATTAGCTTTTCGGGTCTTACCTTGCCTTCTAAGAGTGCAACAGCACAGCTGAGATTCCAATAATTCCGTGAAGGACTTAGGGCCAGGCAGAGATGTACCTGAACTATGTAAAAGATATCTAAAAGAAAGCAGTGGGGTTACACAAGTGAACCCCTTGGAAGACAGGAGATGGCAAGAGCCACGAGGAAGATGCAGCATCTGGCAGGATCACAACTGCAAGGGGGATACAGAGGAAGCTCTGCCCGGCAGTCCCAGCTCTTTCAGCCCAACCTGTGTGTTCCTGGCCCCCGGACCCACACTGCTACCAGCTCTGCCTGGACTCAGACATGAGCAGAAAGCTTTCCTCTGTGCAGGACTGAGCTGTGGCCCAGATGTTCGTGAATCTGGACCTTAAGGGCCGCAATCATAAGTGAAAAGCAAATGCAGCCCAGATGTAGGGAAATGGTCTTTTATTCTGAGAATAATAAATGCTTGGAACGGCCTGTTGAGCAGGGTCACCGGTTCAAAGGCACGAGGATCATTCATGAAGCAATTGACTTGTAGCTGTTGTCCTAAGGGAAATGAAGTGTAAAAGGGATGAGCTCAAAGCACCCTGTGTCTGTTACCTGTGTATTTTATGAGTAATTTGTCTCTGAAGCAGAGGATTTTTTTTTTTTTTTTTTTTTTTTTTTTTTCCTCCTGTGAAGCTGATTCTTTTCCTCCAGCTTATTTCTTCTCAGCAGGAGGGGAAGATGTATTTCTGTCAAATAATAGTTCGTTGCTCCTAATGCAAGAGTCCAATTAATTCATGGTTTAAAAGCTTTACTTTTCTTGCTATTGAAAACAAACAAACCAACAGGAAAACAAACCTGCAGTGTAGCAGAGAAGACTGGAGCATTACAGCCTACAGGGATACAGCTTAGAAAACTGACCGTCTGGTGCTGCATTTCTCAGCCTTGCGCTATAGGACAGGTCCTGTTTGTCCCACTCACCAGTTTCCCAGTGCTAGATGATGCCTTTTGCCCCAACACACATTAATGTGCAGGGCACAAGGAGGAGGTTAACATTTAATGTGAAGATTTGAGGAGCTGTGGGCAAAAGTATCTCACCCTGTGCCTTCCTCAGGCAGCGTAGGGGGGAGAGTCTGGGCCCTGTAAATCCCAGGATGCGGGATGCGTGGGGAGAAGGCACGACCCTTCCAGAAATCCCAGGAGCGTCCAGTCTGCTCTTAGGAAAACCGGTCCCTTTCGGAAGCCCCACTGATGGCTGCCTCCCGCCCCCCCCCCCCGCATCCCAGCCCCCCGCGCTCGCTCCCTCTCCCCCCAGCCTCCCGCCCTTCTGCCGCCCTCCCCGTTCTCCAGCCCTCCCGCCCCGGCGCTGCCCCTCACCCCCGCGGGGGGGCCCCCCGCGCCCGGCAGCCCCTTCCCGCGCCCCGGCAGCCGCCCCCCCGCCCCCTGCAGTTCCCCCGCCCGCCGCCGGGGACCCGCCGCTGCCGGAGCCGCTGCCGGAGCCGGAGCGGGGCCGGAGCAGCCGCGGGCAGAGCCGCGCCGCCCAGCCCAGGTAGGAGCCGCCCGGGGGTCGCCGCGGGGGGTCGGGGGTCCCCGCGTTCCTGCCGGGGGGAGGGGAGGGGAGGGGAAGGGGCGGCGGGGCCGCGCCGCTCGCGGGGCGGCGTGTCCCCCCCCCCCCGCCCCTCCCCGGGGCCGGGAGCGCCGGCCGGGGTCCCCCGCGGAATGCCCGCCCCGGCTCCGGCCCCCGGGGGGAGCCGCTCGGCCGCCGCTGCGGAGCCGGGAGCCGCCGGGACCCCCGAGCGGGCTCGGCCCCCGGGAGCGAGGTGCGACCCGGAGCCGGAGCCTGGCAGGCTCTGCACGGTTGCCGGCAGCAGCAGCCCCCGGCCGCCCGGTTTAACGGCAGCACTTCCTAAAGGACTTTCCTACCAGCCCTTTGCGGGGGCGGGGGGGGGGGGGGGAATGTTTTTAGCGTGGCAAGAGTTGCAAAATGAGACGCTTCAGCTTTCAGGAGAGCTGAAGTTCAAAGAGTGAGGGGAGCGGGGGGGACACGACTCTGTAGGGCTACAACTCCTATGGATAACCCGGGAACGATTCCCGGGCTGTGGCCAGTACGAGGAGGAGGAGTGTGGTGGACATCTGTACGGGAGCAGAGCAGTGGGGCTGGCTGGGATGGATGCTCCCCGTGTACTTGCGTGTTGCTGTATTCGCAGCCTGCGTGCTACGATCATAGGCAGTGAGGGAAATGCTGTTTAACAGAAAATTTTCTCAGGCTTTGGGTTGGAAATAAAAGGTTCATTGTTCTGGAATACGTTTCGGTGGAGTTGTGCTTGTGAATAATTTGTCTTAGAATACATGAGGTACTCACTGCATGCGCAGACGTGCAGGTTTGATGCTGACACAGGCTCTGCTTTAACGAACAAGCAGCGTCGATTCTGGGCAGTGGGGCAAAACTCCCTGCAGAAACCTCTTCCTAGGCCCAACTTTATTCTGTGTTATTTACGCATAAACTCCGGCACAGCCTGCAGCTCTGACTGGGAGCTCTGCATAGGTGCGAGATACTGCAAGTGCCATTCAGCTCTCATCATCTATCCAATTTGTGTCTTTCCTACCCTGGTTGGCTTGAGACCTCAAGGTTGTGACCCTCGGGACAGTTAACACACACGAGGTTTGCTTCGTCTCCCACACGTGCCCCCTTTGTGGCGAGGTGCTGCTTGTGGGAGGACCCAGAGCTGCACCCTGCCTCCCTTGGGGGCTTTCTGCTAGCGGGAGACGCTGAGGGCCGGCTCGCTCTGCCGCCGTATCCTGGGCAGCGCTCCTGCCCTGCACCGCAGCAGTGGGAGATTCCCCTGCTTGCCCCCAGCAGCAGCCAGCCCCTTTGTCTCTCCGAGGCGAGACAGCCTTTTCTCCGAGAAGACGTTCAGCAGCCGCATCCCGGCTGGATGTGAGCGCTGCGGTTAGCTGAGAGCAGAGCCTTCCCTGGGCAGGGAGTCGAGGGTCTATGGCCTCGGAGAGCGAGCGAGCATCCCCATAGAGTCGCTGGCGCTCCCGTAGAGCTGCCGGCAGCAGCCAGCGCCTGCTCCTGCGACTGGTTCCTCGGTGGTAGGACATGTGTGCTCTGAGGTAGGACATGGATGTTAACTGTGCTCCGTGCTTTTCTGCCATGGCTTGCTTTAGTCTTCATTTTGCATAGGGGTAGAAGCGTGTTCTCTGAAAGCAGTCTGCAGCGAGGCTCCCATCGTACCAAGGCATTTTTAAAGTGTCTTGATGTAAGTCTGCTTTAGTACTTATGCATATTAGGCAGTGTATTTGAAGAGAACCATCTGGGTAGAGCAATAGATGGTAAGTGGCTGAACCTTTCCCGTTGGTTTCCATTGCAGAGTTGGGCCTGATTAGCAAAGCCAGAAGTTGGGAAAGTTGCTGTGTGGCTCTTTCTGGTTTGCAGGTGCTTCTTTTCCCAGGTCTGGCATGAATTAATGCCTGAGACAAGAGAACTGTACCTGAGATGTGGGGAAGAGGGAGCTGACAGCCTGTGCTGAGAAGGAAGAGGGCTTTAGAGTATCAGCACAGTAAACCAGAATGCTCTTTTTTTTTTTTTTTTTTCCTCCTCTCCTTTAAATGGCCATTTCTCTTAACCCTTTGTGGGCTGGCCCCTGTGGGGATGATGCTTTTGCTCTTCGTGGTTGGGGACATGGGAACAGGGTTCTTGAGGAAGGTGAAGCCTGAGATGAAGGGCTGCGGGTGGGGGCAGGCCAGTGTGTCTCCCAGAGTCCTGCCTGGGGGAACGGGAAGGGGCAAGAGCAAGGCTGATAAAGGCATCAACATCTCCCTGAGGAGAGTCACCTGTGAAAGGCTGGCTCTAAATGGGGGGTTTAGAGCAGCTGCCTGCAGCTCTGAGAGAAACACAGAGACAGTGCTGCTGCCACTGCCTGCAAGTTTCTTGCTGGAGATTTCTTTTGCAAGCTGTGCAAAGAAAATAAGCCAAGGAGTCATGTGGGCTGGCAGAGGCCTAAATACCCAGATGCCAAGGACCATACAGCAACATGCGGGTGAATGGCAAATGATTTGAGGGAGCTGGTCTTCAGCAAGCTCATCAAAGGAACAGCAAGGCAGGTATGTGCGCTGCTGCCTCCAAACTATATATTCTGAAAGCTAGTGTGCCAGGAAATCCCATCTCCGCTTTGTGTGCGTGTGTGCTCACGCTGATTTCTTTACTTGATAGAAAAACAGCAAGTGAACTTAAAACTCACCCAGGACTTGGGGAGGATCCTCAGCTAGATGCTGGCTGATTGTGTGAGTTCTGGTGGGAAAGCGTCAGACTGCAATGTAGGTTCTCTGTTTTCTGCCACAACAGCTGCTTTGAGCATGTTATTTTAGATTCCTCTTTCTCTGGGAGAAGCAGCTGGTTTTGCATGTGCCATGGGGCCAGAGGAGACCGGGGAAAGGCCTTGGGCCCCTTTGGCTGGAAGAGAAGCTGTGTGTTTTTACTGTGTGTGCATGCAGAGTGGGTGATGCTTGAGCCTGCATGGGGAGTGAGTGCCTGCGTGGGTGGGGGGAAGGATGGGCTTTCATGTCAGTGGAGGAAGAGGAAGAAGGGAAAAGCAGGGAAGAGGAGGAGCACGGGGTGACACAAGTGATGAAGGACGGGGAAGGAGCAGATGTATGCTTAGAATCAGACATTGCTGGGCCGTACGGACAGAGGAGAACTCCTTCGTCCAAGAAACTTCATTTTCTTTGAAGATGGTTTAAGCTTTATTCTGTATTCAATCAGGACTAAGCATGTGCACATGGTCAGTGTCTTGCCCTTTTTAAAGGCTTACAGATGTGCCTGGGTTGTGGATATTGATTTTGGCTGGCTTTGGGGGGAGATCTTAGAATCACTGAATTGTCCAGATTGGAAAAGACCTTTAAGATCATTAAGTCCAATTGTATACCTAACACTGCTAAGTCCACCAGTAAACCATGTCCCTAAGCACCTTGTCTACACATCTTTTAAATACCTTGAGGGATGGTGACTCAACTGCTTCCCTGGGCAGCCTATTCCAATGCTTGATAACCCTTTCAGTGAAGAAATTTTTCCTAATGTCCAATCTAAACCTCCCCTGGTACAATTTGAGGCTGTTTCCTTTTGTCCTATCACTTGTTACATGGGAGAAGAGACTAACCCCCATCTTGCTATAACCTCCTTTCAGGTAGTTGTAGAGAGCAATAAGGTCTCCCCTCAGCCTCCTTTTCTCCAGACTAAACAACCCCAGCTCCCTCCTCCGCTCTTCACAAGACTTGTGCTCCAGACCCTTCACCAGTTTCATTGCTCTTCTTTGAATGTGCTCCAGCACCTCGATGCCTTCCTTGTAGTGAAGGGCCCAAAACTGAACACGGCATTCAAGGTGTGGCCTCACCGGGGAAGATCCCTTCCCTGGTCCTGCTGTCCACACTATTTCTGACACAAGCCCGGATTCCATTGTCCTTCTTGGCCACCTGGGCACACTGCTGGCTCATATTCAGCCAGCTGTCATCCAACACCCCCAGGTCTTTTTCCGCCAGGCAGCTTCCCAGCCACTCTTCCCCAAGCCTGTAGCACTGAGTGGGGTGGTTGTGGTACAAGTGCAGGACCCGGCACTGAGCCTTGTTGAACCTCATACAGTTGGCCTCGGCCCATCGACCCAGCCTGTCTAGATCCCTCTGCCGAACCTTCTTGCCCTCCAGCAGATTGATGCTACAGCCCAAAATAGTGTCATCTGTGAATTTACTGAGGGTGCACTCGATCCCCTCATCCAGGTCATTGATAAAGATATTAAACAGAATTGGCCCCAGTACTGAGCCCTGGGAAACACCAGCTGCCAACTGGATTGAACTCCGTTCACCACCACTCTTTAAGGCACAGCCGTACAGCCTGTTTTTCATGCAGCAAAGAGTATACCTGTCCAAGCCATGAGCAGCCAGTTTCTCCAGGAGAAATCTGGAGAAACTTCATGTGCAGCACTTGTTAGGGTCAGACTTTATTTATTTTTCATGCTTCTAGGCAGCCAGGCAGAAGGCGAGACAAAAGTTTTACAAGTCTTCTCAGAAATGTTTTCTGCTCTAGGCAAGAGGCTTCCAAGGCAGAATATACAAGGCTGAGGTATCAGTTACTACAAGGAACCTCTTGCTGTGTGTGAATAGGAGGAACACAATGGAATTGTGGTCTAACAAGATGAGAACAGCTTGAAGGGTATCTCTTAGACTTGAGGGAATGATATGGAGAAATCAATGGGATATTAGTGACTCCGTGATGAAAGCTTTTTACAGGAATGGAAAATGTAGCTTTCAGCTTTGTACAGGAATGGAAAACTTGGCTTTCAGCTTTGTGCAGGAAAGAGACTGTGGTACTACTGCCGAGTCATGCCTGTGCATGGGAGACAGCGAACTCCAGTTTGGCTGTACCCTCCCAGGGGAAATATTAACACTATTGTGGGTTCTCTGACAAGAAAAATGGGGGACTTGGAGGGATAAAAGAAGTTGTAAAACTTTTGAGGAGGTAATGGAGCAGTTTTAAGGATCCCCATAATAATTTTT